GTAAAAGTGTAAATTATATATTCATCTATTAAATTTTTAAATTTTATCTATCATTAAATTTAAAGTAAATATTTAAATTAAATTATTTTTAATTACTATTTTATATTTTTTTAATTAAAATTTATATATTTATTTTTTAACTAAATTAATTATATTTTTTTTAACTTAAGGATAAAATAGTAATCTTACATAATTATCAATTAAAAAATTTATTTCTATCTATCACATCAATCAATTCATTCTCAAACTTTTACAAACTTTCTCTACACTTTCCACTCACTTTCCCTTAATCCAAACAACTTCACTTTTCACTCGCTTTCTCTTCAAATCTTTCCTTTTCCACTCCCCATTTTCCATCTTCAAATCCAAACAAAGCCTAAATAATTCTTTGTTAAACAATTGATTTTGTAAATAGTTTTATTTTATTTTATTTTATCGTTTATATTTTTTAATTAAGTTTATTTTTATTTAAATATGTATGAATTCACGCTTACGTACAGACGTATGTATCACGTAAATTTAACATAATAGTTTAATTAAAAGTATTACTTTGTTGAAGAAAAAAAAAAACATTTTTAACTATGAGTTTAACGATTATGAGTAACCTTTTACCCGATCAATCAAATCACAAACTATTATTGACTTTATTTTAAAGACAGTGAAAAATTTAACCACTAATTATATATAGTACTTTATAATTGAATTACAGTGTAAAATTAAGTGTATAACCTATTTTTTTAACCATTATGTAAAATATATATAAAAAAAATTGATAAACAATGTCAAAGTTATAGTCTTATAGGCCGTAGAGATTAGAGTGAGTTGTTGATAAAATTATAATGAAAAACATTGAAATATAAAAATGAAATTCATGATGAGAAAAAAATTAACGGTGAAGATTGAATGTCATATGAATAAACAGTTCTGATAACTGGTAAGATAGATTTTTTTTTTTTGGGTAATCCTGCGAAATTGAAAAGACAAAAAACAACACCTAGATGGTAAGTGATAAGATAGAACCATAAAGGCATGTAAACAAATTCTACAATTACTAATACTATGTAAGGAAAATATAAAAAATAAATTTGCACAACAAAATCAAAACCTTGGAACATAAAACCCTAAACCCTAGAAGCTGCTTCTTCTAGA